CCTAGCCATCGCCTCCAACTTCTTCAGCAAGAAATTCTTGGTCTTGTAGCGCTCGCGCGCCGTCGCGCCTTGCATGAGGCGACGGTATAGTACGAGCCATTTGTGCAATGGTAGCCAGGGTTCTAAGCCGTTGGATGCGTTGTCGATGGCGGAGATGAGGGTGGAAACTTCTTTCTGCCAGTCTGAGGGGCTAGAATGGTACCAGCGGTATTTTACTTTGAGCAGCCGGATTGAGCGCGCGTATTCTGTGGAGAAGTGGGCGAGTATGTCGGTTTCTGGGGTGGGGATGGAGATGGGGCAGCGGATTAGATCGGCTTTGCAGATTTCGGGGGTGAATGGGTCGACGGCGTATGTGAAGGGTTCGCCGGGAGTGGGGTTGGTTTGGGTATCTTCTTCGGTGGCGCCATTGTGTGTTTTGTTCCATGCGTCGACTTCTTTCAGCATCTCTGCCCATTTTTCGTCGGAGGGGTTGTTTAAATCATCGAAGGGGAAATCGGGAAAATCCGATGGGAGAAGCTCGCTGAAGTCAATGTCAAAATCCTCGAGCTCTAGAGAGTCGGCATCGTCTGCGTACTCCTCGGGCTGTGCGGTCTGCTCGTCATCCGCGAAACCTGTAGCCGTCAAGGAGTCGCTGTGAGCTGATCCGTCCGAAGCATGAAGACTTTCGGGTTGTTGTTCGTTTAGCTCCGCTGAGACCGAATTGGCTTCCGAATCAGCTTCTACGCCCATGTTCGTCCACTGGCTCTCCGGGGAAGGAGTGCTTACCTCCAGGCCCTCCAGTTGCATAGCTGTTAGCATGTCTGCCATGATAACATCTTCACCGGCTTGTCGCTCCTCTAGGGAAGGGACAGGCAGCTCGTCTTCTGAATAGAGGCCTGCAGATACACAGTCAGATTGTATGGACGTGGGGGCTTCAAGAGGCGTAGTATCGACGGACCCGTGCATCATCGCAGGCGCTGCGTTTCCGACTTTATTTTCCTCGTTCTTGTTTCTTCCGTGACAGCACGGGTGAGTCTGGTCTGTTGCATAATTATTGGGAATGGACATCTTGTACAATTGTGCGTCTTGGGATGTCGTTCGGCTGTGTTGTACGGTTTCTCTCTGCTGTTCATTACAGCCCATCACAGGCAGATTCTGGTGTAACTGGTGTGAGGTCTACATAGTGAAGGGAGTGTGAATCGATAGAGTTTCATAGTGCAAAAACGCTGCCAAATAAGGGCGCATGGCGATGACCATAGTTAATCACACCAGAAATACAGTGCCGTGTGTTGATAGATGCTGCAGCTTCGCCGCGAAGCTTCATAGAAAGTCGAAATAGTGGATTAGGTCTGCAGTCATGACTTTGACTAGATTATAGGTATGCTTCGCCAGCCTCCTTGTTTCTCTCTCTCTTCCTGTGCCCGCTCCGTAATCCAGATGTCATCTCCGAGATCCTCGCGCCCGTATGTCGCAGCTGATACCAGTATGTAGCCATACTTGTCTTGGGGACGTAATATTAGCGGTGATCTGCAGCCCCTCAAAACCCATATCTCATCGTCTTTTCTAGAGTCATGGGAGCAAGCTCCGCCAAAGCCGTTGTAAGATGTATACAAGTGCTCGTCGTGAATCGTTCTTCTTGAATCTTTAATTAATCCGTCAATTAAGACACCATCAACTTGCAAGGCCTGCGAAGTTCCACGAGCCGTTTCAACAGTGCGAACCGAAGCATTTGCTTCGGTATTCTTCAGTACATGGGAGTGGGTGTATGACTTATTCGGAGTGCAAGGGGATTCCTTGCACGTCCAATCAACCACCCACGATGGCAGACTGTTGGTATGATGTGTCTGAGAAGCTGCAGCGTGCCACAGAATGTCTAAATTATTCTCTGTCTCTATGATCCTGGTAGTTGTATGGATCATAACTTGATCGATGGAATGAGAATAGTTCGGTTCAATGCGGTAGGCTGGATCGATCAGACCGATGTAGGCAAATACTTTGTCTCTGGGATCTGAAGTATGGCGATTGCGGGAATGCGACAGGAGTTCCTTCAAGTCCTGGTTCTGACGCGAGTGGGCTTTACAATCTATTGTGAATATCGCTTCAGTCATGCCTACTCTTAAATCACCTTGCCTAGTGTCCACAATGAGTCGATTCGGGTTGCGTCGTTCCGGAAAACCAGAAAACCAGCTCCTCGGGGGGCCCGACATGAGACCGATTGCCTGGTGAATTCTGAAATTGAAGGTGGAGTAAATTGCTCTCCACACTGGAAGCACAGTTCGCCAGGATGCAAAGACTCCACTATACATGAAGTACACGTTTGCTGCGACAACGAATTCTTGGAGGACCCAGGCTCTCGTAAACCAAGGAGCTCCAATGATCTCATAGGAAGCAAACCACCCTTCTATCAAGTCCACGCTCCATGTATTTTCGATAACGTGGTCTGCGATCAAGCGTTGGTGATCGTCATCAATTATATCGGCGCGTTGCTTGTCATCCAGGTCATCATGAGAGTCACTGGTCACAGTCCTGCGTTCCCCTTTGGGAATCTCATCGAACCCACGGGGGCGAACGTCTCTCGCGACCTTTATAGACCAATTCATTCCTTTCGGGTCGGCCTTCTCAGTCGACAGACAGACAAGGACTTGTTCTGCGTACTCGTAGATTTCGCGCATGAACCGAACCTGGTGTGATCTCTCGTTCATGTCGTACTGATTTATCGAGATTTGATCGATCCACAATAGACACTCCCTTGCGCCGTATGTAGCTTTCCAGAAGTTACGGACTTCCTTCAGAGCATGTGCCAGATTTGCGAACACATTGAAAGACATATCGTTGAGGACGATTGTTTCAGTATTCTTTGCAGAGACAGCGCAGTAGGATGGAGCCGTATACAGTCCTTTCAGATCGAGCAAAGGCCTACACGGGAGTAGTGTGCATTCGATGACATCGTCTTCGGTGCCAGGCCAGAGTTTGACAAGGCGGATCTCTTGCTGCGCAACATCCAGTTCTGAGTACAGGCTACTCGCAGGAACCGCGTCATTTTGGGGTGTGCAAAAGATGTCGTGGCCAGGCTGGAGCCCGTCGGACAGTGAAGCTGATGTCGGCTCTTCCGCCATAAGCCAGTACCGTTTGATGCTTGAGCTAGTCTGGAGCGGTGGGTGGAGAATGGAGGAGATTGCGACGACGCCTCGCCGGCCTAAGTGGGAGCCACCGTTCACCCCACATCCCCGCTTCCTTCGCTGCTTCCTCCCACGCCAACTTCCACGTGCAAACTCCCAGCGAACCACGACTGCGTGCGACACACCATTCGACTTCTAGCTCTCTAACAAGTCGCGACAGGGCTTACGGCAGAATGTCACAGATGATGCGAGACGGGATGATTCGCGTCGCCTCAAAATCGCGGCAGGGCTTGAGTCCTTGGGCTTCAATCCCAAACACGTTCTGTCGCACCGTCGATGACGTCCCCGGACTTTTGGAATCGATTCAGTTTGCGTTTGGAGGATAAAGATATCTGCGTAAAAGCTGTGCGGGATCGCTATGAAGACTGTGAAGTGGAAGAGTTTAGGGAACAGGGTTATTGCAGCTACACCCTTCTGGTCACGCCACCAAAAGTCGCTTTTGCGAGGGAAATCATCCGGCATCAGGCTACCGCTGAGGTGAAATGTGAGGATGGGCCTGCTCTCATCGTCCAGCTTCGGCCGCCTCAGCACGCCCTCGACCTCAACATTGTACGCGCTGCTAGCACAGCGCACCCAGCACTAGCCCCCACCATCGAGGATCTCGATTTATCACTACCCAGAGGCATACGCGCATATGAGATGAGGAAGGTTGATGGCACGCCGCTGAGCCGATTACAGCAGCATGGACACTCACTCGATGACAGTGCAGGAAAGCGGCTAGAACGCCTCATCACAAGTTTCGCGGATCTTATTGCGCAAAGCTGGCACTCACCACAGGAAGTACATGATATCACCCGAACGGCACGGGCAGATTCGCCCATGGATGAGCGTCCATCCATGTTCGCGCAGTGCCGCGGCAAGGTCGGCTCAACGATGATTTCTAGACTTGAGAGGCTGGCTAGTGAGCTACCGGATGAACATCTACGCGAAATAGCGCGAGAGGCAATGCGCGCGATACAGCGAATGGAGGACTACCCATTAGTACTCAATCACGGGGATCTCATCCCATCCAATATCCTGGTTGACCAAAACACCTGGGAGATCACAGGCCTGATAGACTGGGCGGAGGCGGAATACCTACCTTTCGGGACCTGCCTGTACGGGCTCGAGCATCTCCTTGGAAACATGACAATATCTCTCCCCGGATCTGCGCTCACGTGGACCTACCTCAACGGTGCGACGCAACTTCGTGAGCTGTTTTGGTCGCGCTTGATCGACGCCGTACCTGGATTGGAAGCTCGAATGGGCGACGTGAGAGTGATGAGGGATGTGGGTGTGCTGCTTTGGCATGGCATCGCTTGGGACAATGGTGCTATCGATCGCGTCGTCAATGATGGGGAAGATGTGGAAGAGCTGGTTAAACTCCGCGCGTTTCTGACCGCAGGATGAGAGCTGCCGCGCGAAGCACCAACGGCGAGCGCATGAGGTATCGTTCTCTTTCTTTTCCGTCTCGTCTTTCATTCCACTTGTCTTCGTTTATGATGTGTTATGCTGAGATTTCGCTCTTGCTGTTGATCGCGGTGCGTCGCGCCTTCCTCTCAAACAGTGGATGTCCCTTCCCACACATAGTGCACCTTCTACATACATGTAGGCAACATCATAAGTTTGTTTGCAACTCATCACTTCGCTCTCCATTTTCGCCTTCGCCGCTATCGTCGTCGGGTTCGCTCCACCTCGCGGACGCAAGAAGAGCGTCGCCAGTAATCACGTTCTCCTCTTCACCACCCTAATCCGGCACAGCGCTGTACCATTTCGGCGACGTGATAGTTAAGAACTGGTGAGAAGAATTTGAAATCAACTGAGCGGTGAAGGTCTGACGAACCAGGACAAACATTGAACATCATGGTGTCCACTCGGCGAGGCACTGCAAACGCAGAGCCGGCCACGGCTGGTATTGGACGGCCCAGACCACTCCGACAGGCGAGCGACACCATACATATCATCGTTCCTAGCGTCAAGAAGGTCGTGAAAGCTCCGGACGATCGAAGAGTGCCAGACACTCCTCCCAGAATGGCGCTCTCCGGCAACATTAGTGAGCATGATCTCAGTCTCACATCCCCAAGTACCGGCGAATCTCCAGTGGTACTCACCATCACGACGCCGAAGAAACGACAAGGCTCAACTGATCCCACCGATCGAACAGTCTCCTCCGCCCTGCGAAGGCTCGCACCTAAGCCTTTCGCAAACATGAGCGGCAGCAGCCACAACCCCATCATCGTCAACGAGGATCCATCACCTCCACGGCGAGCAACGCGAGCCCCAAAGCGCAGACAGAAACACAAAAAGCTGTCGGAACCGCATCAGTTCATCGGCAACGGATATAGGGAACTGTACAGCTACGGTGTCTCCAGACCGGCATTGGCAGCCTTGCCTGCAAACGGCAGCACATTCACCGGGCACCAGAGTCACGATATCTATCGAATGATGAGCGCGAAGATCACCGCCGCGCCTGATGTCAGTCCGAATGCAGCGTGGGGCCGACACACGCTCAACGTACCTTTCGAAGTACAATACCCACTCTCCGCGCCGGTTCTTGCGCAACACGCGCCACAATATCAAGCATCATATCCGCAACACTATCATGTCCAAGTTGCTTCTAACACATACGTCTTGCCAATGGTTCCCTCTCAGAACGAGAACTCGCTCCGTAGGAGAGCTGTTCATCACATCCAAGAGTACTCACGACCTTCGCCACAGAAGAGGAAGCTCACCGATGCTGACATTCCTGAGGATAGCGACGATGAAGCCGGAAAACACCAGTGGCATGCTCGACCTCAATCGAGCCGTCCAACTACTCGTTCAAATGGCACGCCTGTGTCCAGGGTACCCAACGTTGACCAACATATAAATCACAGGCCAACGGTACATCGCGACCCAGATCCCAACCTCCTCGTCGGTCACCTCATCGAGCACACCTCACTCATCACATCCTTGCTACAAGTCTATCCTCATTCTACAGACAAGAAGGGTCTACAGAATGAGATATCGATGATGGTACAAATCCAGAACCAATATATGGGTGCTTGGATGGAGACTGAATCACAGAGCTCGCGCAAGAGAACAAGGCACAACGGTGATGGTGCTGTCAGTCTGGCGAACCACCAACAGCCTATCATCACTCCCGCGATGAAGATTCAGAATGAGAAGGACCATACAGTGCGTCAGGCTCTTTCTGCTGATGCCGACATGTGGCAAGATGGTACAGGGCATGGCGTTGCGGACGCTTTCGCGGTCGCACCTCAATCGTCGCCGGTGGCGAGTACCTGTAATGGAAGGGTAGCTGATCCCGCGAGTATACTTCCGAGTGCAACGACGTCTCGTCATCCCATCCAGGGAAAAGCGGGCGCAGACAACGCTGTCGTCAAAACCCCACCACAGTCGATCTCGAACCCGGGAGCAACGTCAACGAGACACAAGGGTATTCTCATCACACCTATCCAACGCGGAGCACCACAGACACTCGAACAATTGTCAAAGGCGGCCCAGGATAGCCCCAAGAGTGTGATCTACATGAGTCACCCGTATACTCCTTCCAAAGACCTGAGAACTCCCACCAACCTACCTCCCCGCTCCACCAGCTCTCCAGTCACACCAACTACCAAGAATGACGCTTCGTCTCAACACCGAAATGGCGAGCCTTCTTCTTCCCGCAGCAAGCGCGGCGCTCCTATACGACCTATCCTCAGCTCAGAGCACGGCAAACTCCAAGTCCCCGGTAATGGCGATGCTTCAAGCAGCTTCCACAGTGAAAGCTCGAGCGACTTTTGTGCCCGAAGGCCGGTGTTTCGTTTCGAACCACGCGTTACTGGTGAAGGCGGGGAAGCTGAAGCGAATGATGATGCGACACCGACTGTGGACGAGTGAGTGGACTGGACAGCATGCGTGTGAGACCTGCGTAGAGAGCGGGTGTCTACTGGGGGAGTTGAGGAGCATCTGGACAGAATGTACACGTATATTCGATGTACAGAGGACAGCATTCCCTTGTATGGTTACCAGGGGCAAGTGGCGAAAAGAAGGTGGCATGGGCGTTGAAAGTGTGATCCCGGCATCATGTTAGGTCCTAGGACTACTTAGGAACGGTGCAACTCATGTTTCATGATCCATATTCTATCTGGGTATCAAGTTACTTTTCCCTTTTTCCAGTCGTCTGCCACGAAAGAACATGCGAGTTTCCATCCATCTGATACACATACCAATCCATAACACAACAAACCCACTTAATTTCCCTTGTTCCCCCTCTTACCACCCCTCTTCTTCCTCTCAACATGCCCCTGCATCGTCCTCTTAACATCCCCCAAACTACGCTTATTCTTAAACCGCGCCTTACCCAGCGTCATGAGGAAATTCTTCTTACGCGCCTTCTCCTTGTTCGTCGTACTCTTGCCCTCTTCCACCTTCTTGGCCTGGTGCTTCGCCGCTTTGGACGTGTGGTTCGTTTCGCGGTCGGCCCTGGCGAGAGCAATCTTCTCTTCCTTGGTGTTCTTCTTGCCGATTTTGGCGGCGAGTTCAATGGTTTCGGCGGTGATGGCTTCGTCGGCGTGGCGGGCGGCGAGGAGCTGGGCGCGCTTGGAGGAGCCGGCGAGGGTGGAGGTTATTGTGCTGGAGGCGCGGAGGGCTTGGAGTTGTTTGAGGTCGGCGGGGGTGAGGATGGTGGTTGTGAGGAGTTTGGAGAGGGATTTGGCTTCTGGTTCGACGCTCTTGGAGTTTTCTTTGTCGTCGGAGGGGCCGGGGGTGGCGCTGTTGAGCTTGGCTTTCTTTGCGGGTCTTTCCTTCTTGTCCTTTTCGTCTTCGGAGTCGCTGATTTGGATGTCCTCGCCGTCGCTTTCGACGTTGATCCAGCCGCCTGAGTCGTCGCTGTCGCCCTCGCTCTCTACGTCCCACTTCTTCCAGTCGTCTTCGTCGTCGAGGTCGACGTCGCCGTTGTCTGCGTCAGGATCTAGACCAGCCTCTATGAGCTTCTTCCTGCGCTCCTCTTCCTTCCACTTCTCGAGCAGCTCGATGCCCTCAACCTCTCCAATAGCTTCTTCACCGTAGCGGCGTTCTTTGATAGTACCAGCGCGGATACCCATTGTCGCGTCCTTGCCACGATCGCGTTTCTTGAGGAGGTCGGCGCCGACTTCGCGGTACAGGGAGAGGAGACCTTTGGCGGCCATCATTGTACCCTTGTCTTTCGATTTACGGTACTAATAAGCGTTAGTATAGAGTATGGCATCGGATTCTAAGGAGCCAACTTACCATGACCAAGTCTTGAAGCAGAGTGTCTGTCATCGCAAGTGGCTGACGTGCGCAAATCTCACGAATGGAATTCAGACCTGCTGCCGCGACCTCAGAGGCTGACGCTTCTGACACGAACTCGTTCGCGATCTTCTGCACAAGCGGCTCGAGCACGTCTGGCGGTACATACGAGTGTGTCGCTTGCGCTAAGCACGCTAAGTAAGTGGTGACTGAGGCTTGTCGAGGAGTGAGGTGCTTCAAGAAGTATGAATACAATGGGAGAACGGTGAGCTGATGTAATCCAACGAGGCGGGTGACAAGCTGCAGTGCCAGTAGCTTCGTCTCGAGGGCAAGCTTCGCCTTGGTGTTCTGGATGTGCTTCGAGAAGACGGTTTCGGCGAAGCCTTGGGGATCGTGGAGAAGGTGTAGCGCACTGAAGTTGAGGGGGTGGGGTGCGTTCTTCTTCTTTGCCTTCTTCTTGAGACTGACAGCTGCGGATTTGATGTCGCGCGCCTTCTTCTTGCTCTTCTTGTTGATTCCGGCCGCGTGCTTCAGCTTTCCAATGTCCACATCGTTGTCGTCATCGCTGCTTTCCTCTGCGGCGGCTTCTCGCTCCTGGTCACCACCGAGGAAGAACCTGAGGCCGCCCGAGATGGTCTTTTCGTTGTCGCTCAGTGCTGCCAGACGCATGACCTCGACGGCGCGCGCATCTGTCCATATTTGTCGTTTCCACAGCTCTCTAGTGATCTTGACGGCCCAGAGTCCCTTCGGCGAGGAGGTGTCGGATTCTAAGAGACTTGGGACGGTTAGTTGGGAACGCCAAGCATTGGGAGGATATTGCATACTTGTAAAGTGCCGTTTGCATAGACTTGTTGAGCTTATGATTCACAGTCTTCGCGTTGGACGAACGTAGATCTGAGATAATCTTGGTGTAGAGCAGTTGTCGCAGACTCTTGCTGTTTGTCGCCACAAGGAGCGGGAACAGTGTGTTGAGGAGTTTGACAGAGTCTATGACTTCCTTTCGCTTGAGCAAGCAGTATGCGCCGACGATCTTGTCCCTCAGGTCGTACTCAAGCACCTCATGATGGGTGAGCAACAGCTCCAGATCCCTGGGGAACTCGGATGCGACATCGGGGTAGAGATCTGAGGTATGCGAAACGAACTCAATGAGATCCTTCAGCGCAACCAGACCGCTGTCCGAGGTGCTCGGGTCGGCAAGGAACAGGTCGAGGAGGGTTCGGTACTGCTGGTACTGCTGCTCGAAGTCGTCCCGGTACGATTGGGGGTCTCGCTTCAGCTTGAATCGGAGTGCCGCATGGTCCGACTCGAGCTTCTCTAGGGCGCCAACTTTGCGCTTCATGGTGAATATACGGTGTCGTGACTGTATCAGTTATCGAGAGCGTCGTCTGTATGCGCCTTCGAGGACTTTGCGACATGAAATTTTAGTGGGGCCCATCCCACCAATTGGCCAGGGCGGACCGACACTAGGCCGAGAAGCTCTGGCCTCTTCGCGCGTAAATCTTTCTCACGAGCCTCGACAACTTGCGCCCGCAACTCTTCAGCCGCGCTGCCTGACACCGGCGCGCCCTACACTCTGCAAGCCCGAGCATTACTTTCCATTGTCGCGACTTAATTTTGAACTTTTCCCACACGCGCTCAAGACCTCGACGCGACGAGAGTAACTGGGCCAGCGCCCACCGCCGCCCATCATGACGAGCTTCTCCTCCATGTCCCTGTACGCCTTGACGGTGAAGCAGCCCACAGCCACACAGGACGCCATCTCCGGCGACTTTCTTGGAAACGGAAAGCAGCAAATCCTCACAGCGAGCGGCTCACGGCTAGCTATCTTGGAGGTCTCGCGGCGGCAGAAGGGCTTCCAAGAGCTCTACTCGCAGGATGTCTTTGGCATCATTCGCCGCATCGCCAAGTTCAGGATCGCGGGCGGAACCAAAGGTATGTCAGTCCTACTTCCCCGCTACAAGCAGTATAGTGATTTTCAAAGCACACGACACCTCCGAGCTCCCAGCTCACTGAGCCCGCGGTGGACTGGATTGTAATTAACAAGAACCTCTGCTGACTCCGTCAGACCATATCGTCATAACCACCGATTCAGGGCGGTTAGTCACGTATGAGTACATGCCAGATGAGCACGCTTTCAAGACGGTCCACTTCGAGACGTTCGGCAAGTCTGGAATACGACGCGTAGTGCCGGGCGAGTATCTGGCAGCCGACCCGAAAGGGCGCGCTATCATGATCGCCTCAACGGAGAAGAACAAGCTTGTCTACATTCTCACCCGAAGTGGCCAGACGGACATCGCCATCTCCTCACCGCTAGAGGCACACAAGCCACAGACGCTAGTGTACTGCCTCATCGGGCTTGATGTCGGATACGACAACCCCATGTTCGCTACTCTCGAGGTGGACTACTCCAACTCCGAGACCGATCCTACCGGCGAAGCGTACGACGAGATCAGGAAGGAGCTGGTATACTACGAGCTGGATCTTGGTCTGAACCACATCGTTCGGAAGTGGTCAGAGCCAGTTGATCGGACTGCCAATACCCTCTTCCGGGTACCGGGAGGTCCAAACGCTCCCAGCGGTGTCCTGTGCTGTGGAGAGGACAGCATCACCTACCGCCGTATTTTCAACAACAAATCAAGCGTCCACCGATTGGCCATTCCGCGTCGTGAGGGAGCTACCGAAGACCCCAACCGCAAGCGCATGATTGTTGCTGGTACCCTGTACTCTCTGAAGGGCGGCGACTTCTTCTACCTCCTACAAACAGAGGATGGCGACGTCTTCAAGCTTACCGTGGAAGCAACAAATGGCACAGTCGACAAGATCAAGATCAAGTACTTTGATACTATTCCCGTCGTCACCAGCATCTGCATTCTCAGGGCAGGTTTCGTGTATGCTGCCTGCGAATCTGGGGATCGCATCCTGTACGAGCTCGAGTCGTTGGGAGACGAGACAGAGGACCCCGTGTTCGAGAGCGACCAGTTCCCTGTCGATCCGGAGACTGCTTTCGCGCCGCCTTTCTTCAAGCCTCGAGCCCTGGTCAACCTCACCGCGGTAGAGTCGATGGCCAGTCTGAACCCGATCATGGGTATGGAGGTTGCCAATCCTGCCCTCGAAGACGCGCCACAGGTTTACACTATCAATGGTACAGGAGGCCGAAGTTCGTTCCGCACCACCAGGAATGCTCTGGAGGTTTTGGACCTCATCGAGTCGCCTTTGCCGCAAAACGCGTCAGATGTTTGGACTACAAAGCTCACCAGCGAAGACGAGACTGACACCCTCATCGTGATGTGCCTTCACAGCAGAACGTTAGTTCTGAAAATCGGCGATGATGTCGAGGAAGCCTCTAACACTGGCTTCCTCCCAGATACAAACACGCTCGGTGTGCAACAATTTGGTGAGGACTGTATCATCCAGATCCATCCCAAGGGTATCCGCCACATTCAGGGTATCCAGTTTCCCAACGAAGATGCGAGCGCGACACATGCTAGTTTGACTGATTGGCAACCTCCTGCCCATCGTACCATTGTAGCCTGCGCCACAAACAACCGACAGGTTGCCATCGCGCTGAGTTCAGGCCAGATCTTGTACTTTGAGTGCGATTCCGACGGTTCACTTGCCATGGCCGAGGA